GCTCCGTATTGATCCGTTTCGTCCGTAAGCGTAAGCTCCCAATTTTCGTGTCAAAGTACGGACGAAATCGACGGTTAGAACGTATGAAACACTCCACACGTATCCGTATCCGTCTTTTACGTGAGGTATGAATGGGCCTTAAGCAGAGATGTGCAGACTTCCAGATCAACACACACTTCCTCCAGCTGCTCTGGGGTGACCCCAAGGTGACACCAGGCCAGCTCAGAGACATAGTCCTGGGCCTTCCATGAGGCCTCCTTCCTACAGGACATACCAGGGAGGCGACCAGGAGGCACCCGGAACAGATGCCCATGCCACCTCAGCTGGCTCCTTTTGACGTGGAGGAGCAATGACTCTACACCTGAGCTCCTCCCGGGTAACTGAGCTCCTCACCTGATCTCAAAGGGTGCGCCCAGCCACCCTGCCAAGGAAACTCATTTCAGCCGCTTGTATTCATGATCTTGTCCTTTCAGTCATTACCCAGATCCCATGACCATAGGTGAGGATGGGAATGTAGATCGATCTGTAAATCGAGAGCTTTGCCCCCTGACTCAGCTCTCTCTTTACCACAACAGTCCGTTACAGCGACCGCATCAATGTTGACACTGCACCAATCCTCCACTTGAGACAAGGACTCTCCACAGACCTGAAGAGGGGAGTCCAGCTTTCTTTGGTGGAAAACCATGGCCTCGGATTTGGAGGTGCTGATCCTCATACGGGCCGTTTCACACTCAGCTGCAAACCATCCTAGTGCATGCCGAAGGTCCTGGTTTGATGAGGCCAACAGGACAACATCATTTGCAAACAGCAGAGATGATATCCTGAGGTTCCCAAACCAATGAAGGGTATGGAGCTGGTCAAGTGTGCCATGACTGGGTCGTATACCACATTGTTCCTCCTGGATCTGAGGTTCAACTATTGGCCGGATCCTCCTCTCCAGCACCCTGGAATAGACCTTACCGGGTAGGCTGAATAGTGTGATCCATCTGTAATTTGAACACACCCTCCAATCCCCCACTGACACGCGATACTGCAGAGACGTGTCAGCCAAGACAGTCTATAACAATCACAGACTTAAGGTACTCAGGACAAATCTCATCCACCCCTGGGGCCCTGACACTGAGGAGCTTTCTAACTACCTCAGCGATATCAGCCTGACTAATGGCGAGTCCTCCTCTAAGTCCCCAGCCTCTGCCTCCTCCCATGTTAATCCAGACATTTTGAATTGAAAAAGCTTCCTGGATGGGAACCAACACGTCTTCATACTTAGAAAACAAGGTCCAGTGGTTAGTTTTTTTTTATTACTTTTTTTTGGAATTTTCTAAATCTTCTTATTTACTGCCCCAATAGTGCCATTTACGGCTTCATATAAGCTGGAGGGCTGGAACTTCTCACACTTGTCAGAAGATGTTCATTCATAGAAATGGCATGAAGGACAAAAAAGAACAAACTTTAAAGGTTGGGTAATCTGGGTAAGCTAACTGACTCTAGGATGATAATCCCGCAAAACTGTGAGGTGAATTATATCTGAATTCAAGAGCAGTGAGACTGTTTAATAAAACAGTAATTTTCTGTGGTTGTAATGATCTCGGCACTGATACTGGGCTGATCACTCATCCCATACATCTGTTCAGCTCCACCCGTTCCTCAATCAGCTCACCGGCTTCACCTATTTCCTTCACTATATAATCACCAGCAGACTAACAATGTAAGACCTAACCTGTCAAAAAGTCATAATGATGTTGATTTTGCTCCCAAGACTTTGAAAATGACGAGGTTTAAACAATGGAATTAAAAATAATTTTTGGGGAGCACGCCGCACCCATCTAGAAGTGACTTTTGACCTAGGTATTTCTGGGCCCTGTGTACAGCCCTGTCTCTACATTTGTAATTTCTCCATCTCTCTCATACATAAACATAAAAAATTTAGCAGTAAAATTGTAATTTCATCAGTTCAGACAGACACAAACCCAAAAATTCCACATTCTATTTGAATAACAAAGAGCATGGAGCTTTCATTGAGTAAAATAAATGCAACTCTTACCATTAGAGGAGCTTTAGAGGAGCTATCCAACACCGAGCTGACTGTTCTGGATTTTTTTTCAAATACTTGATTTTTTTATTTATGGCTTACTTATACTCAGGTTATTTCTTTATTGATGTCTTTTCAAAATTATATTCCTGTTTTTAAAGGCAAAATGACAAAATTCAACTTAGCTCATGGGAACAGCATTCAAATGAGTCTTAAGGTCATTTGATCGATGTCATGCTGTTCCCGATGGTATATTTTGATGAAAGTGGGGGTAAAACTTATAAAACACTGTAATGTGCAGAAGAAGCCATATCATGGAAATCAGCACTTTTATTTGGTCAAATTCCCTTATATCAAGGAAAGAAAAAACAGTTTGTATAAATTTCTGCACAACTATACCAAAATCACAGGTTTGCCTGGCACACTGTCCACTAAAACTTTTGTGGAACAAATATGCTTCAACTGATTCAGTCCAAATGTGCTGCGGTTAAACATGTTGATCTGTACAGTTTGAGGCTTCAACAAAATGTTCAAGCTGTCATAATAGTCCCAACTCTAAAGCACCAAAGAATCAAAGTCGGAAACCAGACATAGTCAAAAGATTTAGTTTCTGAGAATTAAGGAACAAGAAGGAACTGGAACCTTGAGAATGTGATATTGGTTGAGAGAGAGTTCTTTGGCAGAAAGATAACTTTTATAAAGGAGATTGGACTTACAGTTACTTGAAATGGATGAGTCCTGATGGGGGCGGAAGGTCTGCAGGTCTACCTGCAGGTATTGTGGAGGATTTTCCCTTTTTTTTAAAAAGACCCGCCCTCTACCCCTTTATCCACTCCTGAGAGGGAATGCTGATTGATTAATAGATTAATAGTGAGAGCGTGCAGAAGCCCATTTCTCCTCGTGCACACTCTGTTTACAAGTTGCTGTTCTCATTGCTCATACAAGCTTACTGTGTCCAAGCATCTGACCTAACTCCTAAATTCCTCAATCACTATAGAGCAGGGTATATAGTGGACTTTATAGCAAACTGAGCACTAATATTTCTTCCCTGTTGGTAACGTAAGTCCTCCTCCTCTGCGCGTTGCCTGTGCCATCTTTGTTATTTGACGCCACCGTTGGATAAGTCTATGGCGACAGTGGGTCACTGTGACAGCAAATATCATAATGATTTGCGAGGAGAGCTCTCTGCTTAAAGCATTCTGGGATATACACTCACCGGCCACTTTATTAGGTACTGCTCGTTAACACTTAATTTCGTTAACACTTAATTTCTAAGCAGCCAATCACATGGCGGCAACTCAGTGCATTTAGGCATGTAGACATGGTCACGACAATCTCCTGCAGTTCAAACCGAGCATCAGTATGGGGAAGAAAGGTGATTTGAGTGACTTTGAACGTGGCATGATTGTTGGTGCCAGAAGGGCTGGTCTGAGTATTTCAGAAACTGCTGATCTACTGGGATTTTCACGCACAACCATCTCTAGGGTTTACAGAGAATGGTCCGAAAAAGAAAAAACATCCAGTGAGCGGCAGTTCTGTAGGCAGAAATACCTTGTTGATGCCAGAGGTCAGAGGAGAATGGCCAGACTGGTTCGAGCTGATAGAAGGGCAACAGTGACTCAAATAACCACCCGTTACAACCAAGGTGGGCAGAAGAGCATCTCTGAACGCACAGTACGTCGAACTTTGAGGCAGATGGGCTACAGCAGCAGAAGACCACACCGGGTGCCACTCCTTTCAGCTAAGAACAGGAAACTGAGGCTACAATTTGCACAAGCTCATGGAAATTGGACAATAGAAGATTGGAAAAACGTTGCCTGGTCTGATGAGTCTCGATTTCTGCTGCGACATTCGGATGGTAGGGTCAGAATTTGGCGTCTACAACATGAAAGCATGGATCCATCCTGCCTTGTATCAACGGTTCAGGCTGGTGGTGGTGGTGTCATGGTGTGGGGAATATTTTCTTGGCACTCTTTGGGCCCCTTGGTAACAATTGAGCATTGTTGCAACGCCACAGCCTACCTGAGTATTGTTGCTGACCATGTCCATCCCTTTATGACCACAATGTACCCAACTTCTGATGGCTGCTTTCAGCAGGATAATGCGCCATGTCATAAAGCTGGAATCATCTCAGACTGGTTTCTTGAACATGACAATGAGTTCACTGTACTCAAATGGCCTCCACAGTCACCAGATCTCAATCCAATAGAGCATCTTTGGGATGTGGTGGAACGGGAGATTCGCATCATGGATGTGCAGCCGACAAATCTGCGGCAACTGTGTGATGCCATCATGTCAATATGGACCAAACTCCCTGAGGAATGCTTCCAGCACCTTGTTGAATCTATGCCACCAAGAATTGAGGCAGTTCTGAAGGCAAAAGGGGGTCCAACCCGTTACTAGCATGGGGTACCTAATAAAGTGGCCGGTGAGTGTATCTGCCTATTCTGTGGCCTTTCTTTTCTCCTCATACACTTCGTAGACACTTTAATGCTTACAACCCTCTGCCATTTTCAAACAACCAAGGTGAGAAAGGTGAGCTTCAACTACTGTCTGAAACCATAGCTCACCTCAGATATACGCCTGAGAATGCACATGCACAGAAAAAGATAGCTGACTGGGGAAGAGCACGTAGCATGGCCTTACGTTAACATATCAACAGAATGAATCAATTAGGAGGACCACTTATTTAGATGATCCACTTATTTAAAAGATCTTTCTCTATAACTGTAAGACTGTTTCCAGAAGAATGTGGTGGCAGAGAATGATGATGGAATAAAAACTATAACAAATCAAAATTATGGGTATCAACACACAATACTCACAGAAATTGGGGTCATACAATTTATAAGGAACATATGAAAGGCCTGTTCTGGAGCAGATTTGCTGTTCAGATTGAATTACCATGGAAACTTGATTCACTAAAACCAAATCCAGCTTCATGGTCAGAGTTGAACCTGAAGTTATTTCGATAGAGTGGTAAACCTGCTTTGTGGAACAGGCCTCTGCAACAGCAGCAAAGCTAACACATGGGGGTCTTCATAGTGTTTATTTTTTTTATATAAAATGAGACTCATAAAAGTTTATCGTTTTCGTTATTTCATCCCCTATTTATCAGAAAAGGTGACATTTGCAATAGTAGTTCTACTTAAAAATATTCTTAAATTACTATATATTATTTTACTTTTCCATTTTATAACTTTAGAGGTACACTTGATTCAATCAGATATGCAATTTCAGATGGAGTTGGACCTTTGGGCTTAAAGAGTTAAAAAGGAAAAAAATACCCTGAAATAAAATCTGACCTGAATTTAATTTAAGTAAACATATAACATCAAAGTACAGTATGTTGTCCATCTTTCTGGTATCTCACAGCTTCTATTAAAATCAGAGAAAACTTACAGAATGGCCTGTTTATCTAGGAATCAGTTAAGTAGGCACAGTTTGACAGACATTAAAAGCCTTTGTTAGGGCTCATGCTATTGAATTTTCATCACACCAGTAACTATTTTATTAATGGTTATTGATGATTTCTCAAACTGAACTTATGTCTCAGCATTAAAAAGAAAAATGAGCAGTGATGTGGTGAGGGCTTTTGAACCAATTTTTAAAGTGAGCAAAATTCCAAACACCACCTCCTTCCGATGATGGAAATGAGTTTTATAATAAGAATTTCAAGGTCT